CCCCTGCCACACCTGACCTCACTCTATGTGTGTGTTACTTATCATCATTCTTAGATTTAAATTAATCATTATCCAATCATTAACAGTCGTAAATCGTGATTAATAATATGCTTGCCGATTCGCACTTAAAATCCACCATTATTTTTATTTTTATTTTAGCCGACCTAGAGCATCTCTTTAACGCCTCTACATTTGCAATATCCACATTTCGCCTCTACATTTTCAATTTATATATATATATATATATATATAAAATAGTATCTTTTGAGGTGCCCTTTGTGAAAATCCCACATCGAAAATCCACACTCCTATAAAAGTTTTTAAAAACAAAGCACTATGATGGCTTAGTAAGTGTGGTTAACATTGGAGAGTTAGGCTAATGAGCTTGGCTATAGACTCGGCTTTGATTAATAATAATTAAATTAATCAAAGACCTGTGCCTTGGGGCTCTTGGGCTCTGGAGAAATTTAATTAAGACACCCAAACGAAAATAAGTAATTTGCACACAAAATTCAAGTGTTATACAAATAAAATAATTCTCACATATTATTGAATAAAAATAATATATATTAATATATTATATAGTGACCAAACTTTTAAGTTGTAAAGAGGTCCTCTTTTTTCCTTTTTTTAATAAATAAAAATAAAAAATAAAATAAAATAGTATGTCCGCACGGCTATACTCTGTTTTTAAATATTTTTTTTGTTTAAAATAGTATAGCCGCCAGGCTGTATTCAGTTTTTTCTGAATTTTTTTAAATATAAAAAATTATGCTATTTAAAGGGTATAGCCGCTTGGCTATATGGTTAAAATATTATAGGCTCTTGGGCTATGGAGAAATTTAATTAAGACACCCAAATGAAAATAAGTAATTTACTAGGATCCTTTTGTTTTATAAATATTTTTCCACGATTTTCATTTATCGATAAGAGTAGTCTAAGACACCCAGAGTTATTATCTGTATAAATAATGTAGCACTTTCATGTTTAATAGTGTACATGTACCTACGTATTTTTCATGTTTAATACATGTATTTTTAACAAAAGTTTCAATAAGACACACAAAATTCAAGTGTTATACAAATAAAAAAATTCTCACATATTATTGAATGAAAATAATATATTATATAGTGACCGAACTTTTAAGTTGTAAAGTGGTCCTCTTCTTTAAAAAAAAAAAATAGTATAGCCGTGAGACTCACTGTTTTCTAATTTAAGGAATAAATAGTATAGCCGCCCGGCTATACTTATTTTGACACGTGGACACTTAATCGCTAGGGGTCCTCTCTTTTTACATGTATAAATAGCATAGTCACGCGGCTATGCTCGTTTTTTTCCCTTTTTTATAAAAAAAATAGTATTGCCAGTCGGCTATACTCGCCTTTTTTCTATTTTTTCCAAAAAATAATATAGACGGGTGTCTATACAAATTTTGACACATGGCGCCTAATCGCAAGAGGGTCCTCTTTTTTTACATGTGGTTTTTTCTGATTTTTTGTTTAAAATATTATAGGCACGTGGCTTGGTTGTACTCAGTTTTTTCCTTTTTTTTTTTAAATATAAAAAAACCTCTTCCGACGAAATTTCGTCGACAGAGGTCTATGTCGACAAATGTTTGCCAGATTAAATATCTCCTGACTAAGTGACCTTTGCCGACAAAATTTCGTTGGGATAGATATGTGTCGACGAACTTTCTTCAGAAGATATTTATTTTTCACAAATACATATAAACTTTGTATGTTTAAGGTTAATTAATTTTAAAATTTTATTTTTAGTAATTAAGTAATATCTTTGCTTTATTTTAATAAGTTAAATTAGTAATTATATTTTAATTATTATTTCTTTAGTGAATAATTAGTATTAAATATTTTAATTAACTTTATGAATTATATTACTTAATAAATAGTAATTCAATTTTTCTATTTTTTTCCTCTAAAATTCCGATTCAAAAGTGATGTTTTTTTAATTAATATTTAAATAATTTTTAAAATTTTAAAATTTAATGGAATGGAGAACATTTGACTAATGATACTAAACACATGACCGAATTGGTAAAATTGAAAGCACGGGACTAAATTGGCCATGGTAAAACACAGGAACATTTTTGTATTTAAGCCAAAAAGAAATAAACATAAAATTGGCTCCGCCACTGCGGCACATGATTTCAGCTTGAAGTCTCAGGCTTTACACCTCACAGTGGAGAATAGCAATGGAGGTTGAGTCTGAGAGGACGAAACCTGTTGCTGTGTTCATGGCCTTCGGTACCAAAGGCGATGTCTACCCAATTGCTGTAAGTCATCCTTTTCTTCCATTCATCTCTCTACCTGTTTCCGTTTGGGTCCGGGAAAATGCAAGAAATTTAATGTTGCAAAATGATTTGACAGTTTTTTGGTGGAGTTTTTGATTCTCCGTTTTGTTTTATTGTGTTTCACTTTGCAGGCCATTGCTGTGGCTTTTGCTTGTGACCAGAGACAATACGACGTCGTTCTAATCACGCATTCAGCTCATGAGGTTTGCTTTAACTTGCTTTCCAGGCTTTGAGTGGTCTGCTGATTAATGTTAGATTTTAAGAACTCCAAATAGGGTAAATGAAATGAAATCTATTTAGAGAATCTAAATCTAACACCATTAAAAATGGTACACTAAAGATACCCCTTGTTCTTTAATGGTTACCAGATAGGGTAAATTACTGAGCAAGCAGAGTTATGCCACTAGCAAACTCATTCAAACATGATATCTAGTGTTAATAGAGATACCGCATTTCTCAGTAAAGCCCACAATTTTGCATTGTCCACTGTTCGGAACTCCAGTGGGGTTGCATAAAAAAACAATCATGTTTAATTGACAAATTATGCTATGTCAAATTGACTCTATTTTATTTTTTTTCAACGCATCCTTAACCTTGTTAAATAAACCCTTTAGTATTCTTGTGTTAGGGGATTGTATTTTTCTGTATGGCTCAAATGCAGGTTGATGTTTGAGTTACAGAATTTACATTTTTGTCTCATACTATTGAAGGCCTTAACACTTCTTAGACGTTGCATTTTGTTTTTGTTTTTGTTTTTTAGGTTTACTGGGATAGTCAACAATCACATTTACTAAATAAATTTGTCCCAGTTAAGGCTGATTTTAGTCCACAAAACTGGAATGTTGGTTTCTATGATAGAGTTTCCAAGTACACACATTACGAAAGACAATGACGTGCTTGTGTCCACATACACACACGCACACACACGAACACAAACACAAACACAAACGCAAACACAAACATACACACCCACACATCCACACTCACTCACCCAACAAAGAAACAAGCAGCTGAAAAAAGTAATAAGTAGTTGAAAATATTTCTATGTTTAGGACTAAAACACTTAAGTGAGTGTTGTGTGATTGTGGATCTCTCTCAGGGTTCAGGGTTGAGTACTTGTTTTAGTTACTTATATATGTATGGGTATGGTATGTCTTTATGCATGTATCATATAGGTTGTTTCACCTACATTATGCAGATGCGAAACTCCCTCCTCATCACTATTGATATGTTGATTTCACAGTACGGTCAACACAAATCAATGACTCACAATGACCCTAAATTATTACTCATCCTAAATTGACTTGGTGCAAGTCAACTTCTTATTGGCATTTTAGCTATCCACAGAATAACCAAAAGAAAAGAAACAGTTGTATGAGCATTTCCTTCTACTTTTTTTTTTGTTCTTGTTTCAGCTCCAATTCCCTATCAAACTATGAAGAATTGATGTTAATATATTTATAAAACTTATCATACTTTTGGAAAGGTTCATCATTGCTTCCTTTTTGTTTGATGTGTATTTAGCAATTTTGTTGAGTATTTTAAATTTGTTGGTTGTCACTTGTCGTGCAGAACTTAAGGTGTCACTTGGCTGAAAAACATGTTTCATATCTTCCAATTTCATCATCACCTGTTCTCTCTATCCATCAGAAACATGATCCTACCGGTTCAAATTACTGAATTCTCTCTCATTTTCTCTTAATATAGCAGAGCTTATTTGCTCTGGCTTGTTTAAAGAACAATCTAACAACTATGTAACGTTTTCTTTGGATCTTTTATCATACCAGGCTCTGTGGAGTTGCCATGTTCACTGCAGAAAAGGATGTTTTCTAGCGAACACAGACAAGAATGTTATTTGGTAGTTGAATCCATATTTGGATCTGGCCCAAGCATGGAGGGTGATTTTATTGTGATAAATTTCTTTGCTTTGGTACTTCCCATTTAAGCTTTTTCTTTGTTTTGTTTGGTTTTTTGTTTTTATGGAAAAACTTAAGTCAAAGTATCTCTTATATAGATTAATACATTTTTGGCATAAAAGAATCAAATATAAAGCAAATTTTTTTTTGAAAGTAAAGGGTGTTAAATATAAAAACTAGAAGTCCTGTATGGTTATGTGGCTTTCCATTCAAATTCTTCTCTGTCATGTATAGTACACATACATGGGATTTAATGCCTGCTTAAACATCTTAAATGTCTACACATCAACTTAGGATTATGCATGGAGAGGCCTGATATATAAGATGCCAGGCATAGAATACATGTGTGGGACTTTTATATTCTAAATACGTCCCCCCATTAGTTGGCAGATTGAGCGAAACACATAGATAAATTGTAGTAGGGGACATCGAGCACATGTGGAAAATTGGGCTTAACACATGGATGAAGAGGCTGATGATTTGAAACATTGAGATGAAAAGCTTAGAATATTCAATGTTAGATTTTTGTATTGTCAACAACTTATATACCTTGATTAGTATTATACTCAATTAGAATTTTAGACAGTGGGTATAATGATGTACTACCTAAATTGGTTTCACTGCGTGATGATCCAGGAAGGCTGGAGTTTTGCGGAACTTTTTCGTGTCCGTTGCATGGTTGCTGCACCTTATGTCGTTCCATACAGGTAGTACATCTTCT